CTACAATTATAAGAGGTGCTCAAAGTGGTGGCCATGTGCTTCCAGCCATTAGGACGGTAAACTGCTAAAATGTGTATACATTTTTTTGGCAGATTCTATATACGTTTAAGACAAAAGAATATTCAGTTGCTTTGGTAAGATGTAAATAAGTGTGAGTAAATTGATTTGAATTAGCTATAGAATTAGAAATTAGATAACAGAATTTTATTCCTTGAAGAGGAATTATGACTTTCAGAAACGAGTCCAATTTTGGGTTTTTTTGTCTTTTTGAGACAGGGTCTCACTGTGCAATTCAGACCATCCTTGAGCTCACTTTGTAGCCCAGGCTGATCTCAAACCCAGGATGATCCTCCTGCCTCAGCCTCCCTCCCAAGTGCTGGGATTATAGGCATGAGCCACCAGTAATCTTTCTCCTCTGGAGCTTTACTGGTAAGCTGAGTCCAGTTTATTTTTGATGTGGCTCTTAGCATGAAAACATTTTAGAATACATTCATTTTTGAAATGTAATAGGGTGATGTAATGTTGAAATGGATTTCCCTCAGAAGAATCAAAATCACAGGCCCTTTCCTTCACACATTTTAGTGTAGATTAGGATGTAAATTGAAGGTAGGAAGATAAACAAAAACGATGGTGTTCAAATTAGGAATTGCCACTTTCCTTCATGGAAAATGAAAAAATATTTAAGTAAAATTATAACACTATGAAAATGTATCTTTATATTTTCATACTGTAAACATGCATTATAGTCAATGTCTAGCAACTTAGATAATTGTATGATCTCTGGGGCTGGGGATATAGCTCAGCAGCACAGCACCTGCCTGGCAAGCATGAGGTCATGAGTTCGATTCCTGGCCCCCCCCCAAAAAAAATTATATGACCTTGAGTTTCTCTTTGTGACATAAAGTGTCTTTCCCTTATAGGACACTTAGAATTATTAGATACTTAGAAGATACTTTACAACATCATGAAGTTTATTCTTTTTTGGGGAGTACCAGGAATGGAACTTAGGATCTTTTGCTTGCCAGGCAGGTGTTTGTGTCACTGAGCTATATCCCCAGCCCAGTTTATTCTTTAAGGGAGAAAAATATTTCCAGTTTGAGTTGTAAATTCCAATTTATTTTCTTAACCTAATTGGTGAAAAATCTAGCTGGAGAAGTAGTGACTCATATTTTAGAATAATGATCTAGAGATATAAAAATGATCTTTTTTTTCCAAGTCTTTTGTTAGGGTAAGGTGATAGAGATGCATTAAGATGGTCCTTTCAGAGTTATTGAAGTTTAAATACTGTATTCTTCCAGCACACATGAAAGGACTTGCATAACTTTAGGTGGATATTATTTTGTGTTCTCAATAACTTAATGTTTTTATTTTAGTTTTGTACATGAGACGGCCTAAGGTTAGATTCCGATAGATACACAACATGATTGCACTTCTCCACAATCTGGGTGTAAGCTGAGGAGGTTACTGACCACACTTCTTGCAAATGACTGAGACACGCCTGGGTCCCATCCACATTCCTTGGTCCTTCTTTCTCCTCTGGAGCTTTACTGGACTTAGCGCTCCCTGCTCTTCCCACCCCAAGTTCTATCTCCAGCTTGGTGAAAAAGCCCTCGGCATCTGGGACATTTCTCACTCTTCAGGTGGAGCAGCTGTGGTAAGCAAGCTTGTCCACAGCCTGCAGGCTGCGCTGCGGCGTGTGCGCGGCTTCCCATGCCTGTGAGCCAAGGTGAGTGGCACGTGAACGTGGCTGGTTCGTTTCACACCACGCGATCAGCGGTTGTGTGGGACCCAGGAGAGACACAGGGCGGTGGTAGGGAAAGTAGTGAAGGTCTATTGCCGTAGTTTTAAAGCTTATGGGAGTATGCAGTCTCTACGGAGCGCTCATACCCATGGAAAGGGCGTGCACAAGCCCCGTCCTGATGCTTCATCTAGTATTACTGAGACATAAAATGTCTTTCCCTTATAGGACACTTAGAATTATTAGATACTTAGAAGATACTTTACAACATCATGAAGTTTATTTATTTATTTTTTGGGGGGGTACCGGGAATGGTGAATTTCTTTTTTCTTTTTTTCTTTTTTTTTTTTGGTGGGTGCTGGGGAACGAATGGGTGCCGGGAGTGGAATGGTACCGGAGGGAGAAAAGCCTCAACCGGAACCTGTATTTGTAAAAGAAATTACAAATAGACGATTTGAAGTGTGTGAAAATATTCACTTACTATCCACTGACACCAAGCTTTTTGTTGTTGTTTTGGCAACACTGATTTTAAGTACCTGCTAAGGCTGGTGCTTTACACACATTCCTCCTTTTAAGTTCCCCTAACTCCCAATTTGGGTATTTTCAGGGTCAGTGTTGTCCGAGGTCCTAGTGAAGCAGCAGAAAGGTTTGAAAACCTTATTTTCTTGTCTATGGTTTTCTTCCACTAGACTACACGGCCTCCTCCCTGCAACCCCAGTGTCACCCTCGGCTCTACCAGGACTTCACCTTACTAAATAGTAGCGCTCTCCAGGGGATGCCTCGAAGCCTGGGTCCCGCAGCTTTACTCCGGGGAGGGCCGCGGTGGGGTGGGAGCGCCCCGCCCACCTAAGCCCCGCCCCGGTAGCCTGGGCAACGCGTTGGGGACGCTGGGGAGGCCATGTACCAGGTGCCAGAGTTGTACTCCCGGAGAAGGCGGTTGGAGCTGCACACCCCCTCCCTGGATGTAAGTGCAGCCCGGTCCGCGCTCGCGGGCCGGGAAGCCGGGATGCTGTCCCCTCAGCTCTCGGGCCGCCAGCGATGCTCCCCCGCACCCCCACTTCCTCTGCTGGGCCGCAGGACGTATTCGCCTACAAAAACAAAACCGGACCAGTGGACTCCGCAGGCGGTCAGCATTCAATTCTGGCTCCTTTGAAAGCCCACCTTCCCGCCTCTGGGAAAACCAAACCAAACGAAACAGCCCAGCTGTGGGGGACCCGGGGAGCGCAGGCCGGGATTGCGCCCCACCGCCAGGGAAGGGGGACCTTGTGCTCCGGCGCTGCCTCGGAAGGACAGGCGCGGTGGCGGAGCCGGCTGCTCCTCTTACGAGCTCTAACGCAGCTCACGGGGAGGCTGCGCTGACCGTCAGCTTATTTTATTCGAATGACTTGAGCTGCGTGCAGATACCTCCGCTCCCCGCTTTTCCCCCTCTCGCGTGTCCTATTGAAGCCACACCCTAAGAACAGTCAAAGAAGAATAAAACCCTGGCTTCAGGTTAAAAGAAAGAAGTAAAGATTCTACATCTTAACTGAATAAAGAGTGGAGCAACTAATAGAAACTATTAGAGGCTTATTGCGCGGTGTGAGTTGTAAACTGAATTTTAACCACCTTTGCTGCATCTCATTTCCAGCAATGGGGATTACGACTAGGAGCGTGGTACTGGAAAGACGACACCAAAACTCTTGAATTCAAAAGGTAAATTTCAATAAGGCTTTTTTTGGACTTTTTATAAAAAGTTCTATGTGTTTGAGTTTTAAAAAATAATTCAAGCAGCACAGAAGCGTATAAAGAATAAAATATCTGGTGAAATCCCACCATCTGGAGATCAGCGTTTTGCTGAAGAGTCTTTCAGACATCACTTTCTGTTAACCCCTACGCGCTGCTTTGTGCTCCTACCAGAGTGCTCCTCCTGCGAGAAATGGTGAATTCAGCCGAGCTTGGTGGCACAAGCCTGTAATCTCAGCACTCGGGAGGCTGAGGCAGGAGGATCCTTGCGAGTTCGAGGCCAGCCTGGGCTACAAAGTGAGCTCAAGGCCAGCCTGAACTGCCCAGCCAGATCCTGTCTCAAAAAGACGAGAGAGAGAGAGAGAGAGAGAGAGAGAGAGAGAGAGAGAGAGAGAGAGAGAGAGAATTCAGGTAAACGCTGACTCTAAAAATGTACAGCTAAAATAATATACTAGCCACTCTATTGTGCACTTAACCACGTGCAAGATTTTTATAACTTTCACACAACAGCTAAGAAAAGTGAGCTTTAGTACCCTCATTTTCACGGTAAAGAAACCAGGCTCAGGGAGACTGGGCAGTCCTATAGTCGCTAAGGAGCAGGACTGACAGCTGGAACCAGGATTAGTCTGCTGTCAAAACATCTCCACTGTCCAGTGACTGCTTCCGCCAGACCATAAGCCCCTCCCTGGCAAGAAATGTGTAGTTTTTGTGTGCCTGGAGCCGTCTGCACAACTTCACAAAGTAGGTGCTTAACCGTAAGCACATCCCGCTAACCAGCTGGGAAAGAATACCAGAGGCGGGAGAGCACTTAGACCAGCGGTGGGGGAGTATGGGTATCTGTAGAGTCGGAATTAACTCCATGCTGGGGAGAGCCAAGGTGTCCAGGATGACCCTCAGGTGTCTGACGGGGTGACTGTGTGGCTGGGATTGCTGTTCCACACCTGCCGAACGGAAGCAGCGGGGTGGCACCCTGTCTGAGTTTACGTAGGTATTTTTGATTAAACTGTCATTTCCCAAGCGGTAATTTCAGGCTTGTATTGTCATCTCATGTACGTCCCAGAAGGTTCTGTCCAGGGGCTTCTGAATCGTCACCCTCAGCAAGAGAGAGACAGGCAGTGAGGTGGCTGTAGGACTAGCAGGCCGGACATAGGGCTCTAAATAGCTTAAGCACAGGAGAATGTGGGTGTAAATTTTAAGTGCCGAGCCAGGCGTGGTGGTGCACACCTGTAATGCCAGCACTCGGGAGGCTGAGGCAGGAGGATTATTGAGAGTTTGAGACCAGCCTGGACTACAAAGTGAGCTCAAGGCCAGCTTGAACTGCGTATCGAGACCCTGTTTCAAAAAACAACAAAAAAAAATTTTAAGTGCTAACTTCTTCCCCCTTAATCGTCAATATATTTAAAGGTCATCTCAGTTCTCTTATAAAAATAAAAACTGGATCATACTTTTTACTTACTTTCTGAACTTCTGTGTAAATTAAGTTAGTGTGCAGGAGCTTTCAAACTAATTTACACTGCCAATGTAGTTATAACCCATCCCAAGTGATATATTTCATATAGGAGGGGCTGGGGATTTAGCTCAGCAGCACAGCGCCTTCCTGGCAAGCGCAAGGTCATGAGTTTGATTCCCGGTACCGGAAAAAAAAAGAATAAGGTATTTCATATAGGAACCTACTAATACATTTACAGATAATGAGCTTCATATTGTTTTTCATATTCATATGAAGCTGAAGTTTCTTTTTTGTTGTTTTTGTTGTTGTCGTTGTTTGTCTTTTTTTGAGACAGGGTCTCACTATGCAATCCAGACTGGGCTAAAACTCACTGTGTAGCCCAGGATGGTCTTAAACTAACGGCGATCCTCCTGCCTCAGCCTCCTAAGTGCTGTGATTACGGATGTGTGCCACCATGCTCAGCTAAACTGAAGGGTTGTTTTGGCTTGCTACCAAATTGTTTTTAAAATAGGGCTGGATTTGACTTGCACAAATTTTGGAGAATATATGGAATGGGTTTTTTTGGGGTTTTTTGTTTTTTTTTTTTTTTTTGGTCTTTTTTTGAGACAGGGTCTCCCTATGCAGTTCAGGATGGCCTTGCGCTCACTTTGTAGCCCAGGCTGGTCTCGAACTGGCAACAATCCTCCTGCCACAGACTCCCAAGTGCTGGGATTACAGGTGTGCACCACCACACATGGCTGGAATGGTATGATTTAAAATGTAGGTTGCTGGGGCTGGGGATAGAGCTCAGCGGCATAAGCACCTGCCTGGCAAGTGCAAGGTCATGAGTTCAATCCCCGGTACCACAAATAAGTAAATAAATAAATAAAATGTAGGCTGTTGCCTGGCAAGCCCAAGGTCCTGAGTTCGATTCCCAGTACCAAAACTAACTAACTAAATGAATAAAATGTAGGTTGTAATTCATTGTATATTTCAAAGAGCTATTAAGATGGTTTATGTGAATGTTTCCGACACAAAAGAAATAACTGTCTAAGGTGATGGATATGTCATTTACCTGGCCTGATCATTATACGTTGTATATGTATACTGAACTATCACATTGTGCTCCATATGTAAGCAAAATTACTATGTGTCAGTTAGACATATAAAATAAAATATAGGTTGTATAACATAGTGGTGATCCAAAAAGTCCAGACACAGAAACGTAAATGCTAAACCGCTCTGTTTCTATAAAATTAATTAAAAAAAAGAGTTGCCCTGATGTAGGGGTCTACAGCAGGTACTGTTAGAGCAGCTGTCAACTTGCAGGGCACAGAGGAAAGTACAAGGGCACCTCCTGAGGTGTCAGAAATGGTTTATATGCTGCGGGCAGCCAGATGGAGGGGGAGCGTGTGAGAAGGTACAGATTAGCTTGGATTGTGGTTGGGAGCCAGTCAGAGGTGCAATTTGTTTTTGTTTTTGTTTTTTTCTGGTACCGGGAATCGAACTCATGACCTTGCACTGTGCCGCTGAGCTAAATCCCCAGCCCCCAGAGGTGCAGTTTAAAGGACAGTTTCCCATAGTTGCTGGTGGCGCATCTTAGCAGGCCTGTGTGCATTGTGAGCGCTGGCCACCAGTAGAGCTATTGGCAGGGCCCAGTGTGTCTGTCCCTCGAGCCAGCTAGGTAGGGAGTGACTTTAATCCAGTGAAAAGCACTCAGACAAATGCACAGGAGAGCCGAGCGTTGGGACACATGCACTCGGGAGGCTGAAGCAGGAGGATCACAAGTTCGAGGCCAACCCGGGCTACAAAATGAGCTCAAGGCCATCCTGAACTGCGCGGCGAGACCCTGTCTCAAAAAGACAAAAAAAAAAAGCAAAGGAGAGAAGTCATGGCTAGAGGTGACAGAATAAGGAAGTTGAATAACAAATGCCAGCTCTTGGCTATGGCTGGGTACTACCCATCCCCAATCTTAAACACTGGGTCATAGGAGCCTCGTGAAGCCTTAGTTCACCTGCCAAATGACAGCCCTGTGTAAATATCTGTTAAATGCCCCCTAGCCCAGAATTCTGTGGTTTTATTTCTTTATAATTCCAAATGCATTTATTTTGTTCACAGTCTCAGATCATTTAAAATTCCTTCTTTTAAGGCTTTCTTATCAGAAAACTTCATAGGCAAACTAGGGTAGTGAGACACTGAACATTGCGGATGGCCTGAGAGTGGGAGACACAATTTCACTTGACATTCACAGACACGGAGTGTGTCTTAGTTACTTTTCTCTCATTGCTGAGACAAAATACACAACGCCCCAAACCAACCAACCAAAATACACAACGCCCAAAATTAAGGAAGGAGAGGTTTATTTAGCTCACAGTTTGTGGAGGTTTCAGTCCACTATCAGCTGGCTCCAGGGCAGGGTGGTCTGACCCAGAGGCAACACTTCAGGGTGGCAGAAGACAGTAAAAGCAGCAAGAGCAACAGAGGGGAGGCGCAAGCCTCTTTTCCTCCCTTATGTAGTGTGCAGGCTACTTCAGGATGTTTACAAAGTGAGGACCTGGCCCCTGCTGAGTCCCTTAGTTAAGCTTCTAAATGTCCCAGTTCTCAAGCTGACACACTCTATCAACCATTACAGAGTTTCTGTCTCTTCTCCTTTTGTTGAGAAGAGAGACGCAAATGTAAGGGACATTAGCATAAGAGGCCCCAAACACTGTCTTAGCTTGTGGACAAACCAGAAAATAAATATTAGGGACTGGAGGTGGTAATGTGCACCTCACGAATCAGCACGGCGGTGGGAATACCGTCAAGGTTTGGGGTTTGAATATTTTGTTGAGGGTCTCTAAGAGGTTTGTCAATAGAAGGTACTAACCACTTAGAGTTTCTTCCTGTAAATCTATCGACTGCTTTTCAGTTATACGGGTAACAATGCATCCTTATAAATACCTGCATAGTACAGAAGCGTACAGATATGGAAGCCAGATCTCTTCGTCACCACCCTACTCGTCCGCCCCGTCTGATCCCCCGCCTTTCTTTGGAGGCATCCTCCCATTTCTGTTTTTCCTTCCTTTCCCATCCCTACTGTTCCAACACACCCAGCCCAGTCCTTAGAGACTAAGTGCACCAGAATGAACAAGAAGTTTAGAAATCGTCCACTGGCCAACTCCGTGCCAATGGTGTGAAAGACAGAAAAGGGAGATGGAAAAATACAGGTAACATGCTCCTGAGGTGTGGCACCATATTCTTGCTTGGAGGAGCTAACACAAATATTGCCAAGAGGGTGGCAAAGACTCTTGGAAGAACAGAGTAACAGGGGCTGGGGATTTAGCTCAGCGGCAAAGCGCCTGCCTGGCAAGCGCAAGGTTGTGAGTTTGGTTCCCGGTACCGGAGAAAAACCAAAAAAAAAAAAAAAAAAAAAAAAAAAAAAAAAAAAAAAAAAAAAAAAAAAAAAAGAACAGAGTAACAAACTGACTGTATTACTCTCATGGGAAGGTTCTCTGAATTTTTTTCTTTTTTTTTTGGCCAGGGTCTCACTGTGTAGCCCAGGCTGGCCTTGAACTCGCAGCGATCTTCCTGCCTCAGCCCTCTAAGTGCTGGGATTACAGGCGTGCACCACCATGCCTGGCTGTATAATAATTTTTGTGGGATTTGACAAGGAGGTAATAAAGGTCTAAGTCACTGATACCCATTTTTAGAGGCTGAGTGAAGTTGGGGGGAAGGTGCTTCCATTACTACATCTATACTTAGGCTTAACAGAGGGACACATAACTTTGGACAGAGGTTACGTTTCTGGCTGGGTTATCCATGTAGCATTGTTTCAGGCAGAAAAATACATCATAACCCGCAGTGGGCTGCCAAACCAGTGTATTTGGCAGACACAACGGTTACCCTAGAAAGTGCACTCCAAGGCAGGAATCACATCCTGCTGCTCGCTCGCTCTCTCTCTCTTTTTTTTTTTTAGACAGGTTCTCGCTATGCAGTTCAGGCTGGGCTTGAGCTCACTTTGTAGCCCACGCTGGTCTCAAACTTGAGATCCTCCTGCCTCAGCCTCCCGAGTGCTGAGATTACAAGCGTGCGCGACCACGCTGGCTAGCCTGCTGCTCTCTGAGAGGCCTTTCTGCTTTCCCGTTAGCATCTACTGATATTCCCAAGTCTGTGCATTGGCTCTAATCGGATTCTGTTCAATGTCATAGCAATTCCTGACACATAGGAAGACCTCCAGTACATGCTTCTTGCTTTTTGTGGTCCCTTGTTATTTGGGGGAGGAGGTGGTTTGAGACATGGTCTCACTATGAGTGCAGGCTGGTCTTGAACTCGCTTATGTAGCCCAGGCTAGCCTTGAGCGCTTGGTAATCCTGCCTCAGCCTCCTGAGTGCTGGGATTCCAGGGATGTGCCACCATACCTGACTTTGTGCAGTTTGTTAAGAAGCCCTGATAGGCCAGGCGTGGTGGCACACACCTGTAATCTCAGCACTCGGGAGGCTGAGGCAGGAGGATCTTGGTAAGTTGGAGACCAGCCTGGGCTACAAAGTGAGCTCAAGGCCGGCCTGAGCTGCATAGTGAGACCCTGTCCCAAAAAGACAAAAAAGAAGAAGAAGAAGAAGTCCTGAGCAAAGGGTGCAAAACCTTCCTGGAGAGGGGCAGGGCCTTTAGACAGGTCCACAGCACAGCGGCTGAGCTCAGGGCTCTGTGGCTGGAGAACTGGGGCGCCCATCGCAGCCAAGTTACACATTTCCAACTTTCAGGTTGCTCGGATGTAAAACTCGGTGATACTGGTAATGTATTCCTCACAGCGTTGCTAAGAGGATGAAGTGAGGTTTGGTATAAAGGCACTGGCCCGTGACTACTACACGATAGATTGAAAAAAAAACACCCTTCCGAACTGATGAGCTTCCTGTGAAGTTACAAGACTTTTAGATAGAAATGTTTGTATGTGGTCACGTGGTTTCTCTTATAAGAAATATAAATAAAGAGGGGCTGGGGATTTAGCTCAGCGGCAAAGCGCCTGCCTGGCAAGTGCAAGGTCGTGAGTTCGGTTCCCGGTACTGGAGAAAAACCAAAAAAAAAAAAAGAAATATAAATAAAGAGCAAAATAAAAGATAGAAAGAAGGGACACAGATTTTGTCCCAAGGGGAAGGAGGTGGAGAGAGAGGCAGGAAGGGGAGGAAAGGGGATGAAGAAACAACTAAGATGCGTTATGCGCTTGTGACCAACTGCACTCACGGAGTGGGATTGTTATGTAACACGAACACGGACTAATAGCAAACACCGAAGAAAAAGGAAGGAAACATTTGTGTATGGTGGTGGCCTGGAGGCTGCTGAGGTGAAGAGGTTTCGTGTTAAAGTCTGAGGGGTAGCAGGCTCTGGATAGCAGTTCCATACGTAAATACATGCTGCGCCCTTATCCCAGCGCTTGGGAGGCTGAGGCAGGAGGATTGCTATGAGTTTGAGGTCAGCCTGAACTACGCAGTGAGACCCTGTCTCAACAAAACAAAACAAAACAAAACAAAACAATTGGTGCTAGTCCTAAGGGGGAAAGGAAAGAAAGAAAAAGTTAAAAAAGAAGGAAAACATGGAAACAAAGCTTTATAAATGGGGGGGGGAAGAGGGATTGAAGGGAAGGGAAGGGAGTGGGAAAAGAAACAAGTTACATCATGCACAGGTACAAATTCTCTATGATGAATATGATCATTATACATATCTAAAATGTACCAATAAAATCTCATTTCAAAACAAAACAAAACAAATAATGATGGTCGTCCTAAGAGTGCATGAGCTACGGTCATGGTATGATTCATCTTCCCTGGGAAGAGGTCACGTTGCCAATTATCTCATTTCTATTGCAGTTTTGCACCCGCAGTAGAACTCAAGGAAAAAGGAAAGAAAGGCAAAGCAGTGCACTTTGCGGAAGTGGATGGCCCAGCTTCAGAAAGGTGGCTTAACCCCGCCTCCCCCGGGGCTGCCGAGGCCACCTCTCAGCGGCATCATTTAAGTCTTTACAGACTCTACGAAGACACCGGTCCATTATCCGCAGCTGAAATACCCATCAAGGAAAAATACCTATCCAGGGCAAAGCGACGCTGCTGCAGAACTGGGACGGGGGTGACATAGTCCCTAAGTGTATCCCTGTGAAAACTCAGCTGCTACCAACTTTTCAATGTTTCACAGTTTTTTTACAAACATCTGAAAATGGTAGCTTTACCGGAACAGATGATAGAAACAATCTCCTTTGGATAGGATTTGTGTTTTTTTCGTGTGGGGGTCTGAAGGCCAAACCCAGGGCACTGTGTATGCTAGGCAAGCACCCCACTACTGAGCTATTCCCCAGCCTTCGGGTCACATATTCTATCAGGGAATGTGCATGCCTTCTGCTCCTACCCTGAAAAACACAATGTTTAATAAAGAGCATTTTTGCCAGGTGTGGTGGTGCATACCTGTAATCCCAGCACTCGGGAGGCTGAGGCAGGAAGATTGTTGCAAGTTCGAGACCAGCCTGGGCTACAAAGTGAGCTCAAGGCCAGCCTGAACTGCATAGTGAGACCCTGTCTCAAAAAGGCCAAAAAATAAAAAATAAAAAAAGAGCATTTTTGAAGGGTATTACATTAGATGAAACTCATGCATGATACTCGGGCTCCTTGTTACTTTATAGTAGATGCTTCGCGCATGGCAGGATAGATTAGACACAACTAAAGCCGTTAAAAACACTCTCAGAGACTGCTATATTCAATAACAGGTTGACCGGTAAAAGGCTTTCTTCAAGAGATGAGAAGGCAGCAAGGGCCCTAGAGAAGCAAGGTCAGCAGGGCCACATTACACTGGATGATGTTAAGTGTAAGTTCACTGCTTCCTCCTTCCCTGTGCTACCTTGTGTGAGCGTCTAAGGCAGCTCTGTGCCCGTCCTTCAGTTGTCCTTCTTCTCTTTCAGTTGTTGCTTTGTTTTTGCTGCAAGATACTGAGATGCAGCGGATCTGTTCTTTCACAACATTTATGAGGTACGGGATGTGGTGGGGCACGGGGGATCTTTCCCCTTCTAGTTAGGGGTGATTTCACGTGGTAAGTGATGACAGGTAATGATTTTTAGAGAGAGACCATCAGCTGGCTCTGTGCAAGCCGTCCCCTCAGGAAGAAGCATCAGAGACAGAGACCAGAGAGCCTGCAAGAGGAGGGCGGAAGCCATGCGAGCCCCGAGTCCTGGTTACCCCTAGGGCAGGGAGCACAGAAAGGCAGGTGCAGGAGTCCCTTATGGGCTGAACTATTCTTGTATGACAGTCAAGGGGAAAAAAAACGGTCAAGGGAGAGACCTGTTTATCGTAGAACAGTTTTCTGTTGTAGAACAGCCCCCAAAGTGCCAAAATTCCCCAAAAATGACTCTGGTCATTCTTGACTTCTCAAAGCATCTTGGCTACAAAATAGGAAAGTGACAAATAGTGTTTCCTTTATATGTGTGGCCGTGCGTCACAAGGCACCGTCTTTGTCTTGGGTATTTTTTTGGTGCTGGGAGGGAAGAGGGCCTGGCACGTGCTAGGCAAATAATCTTAACACTGAGCTACACCCCTGCCCCCTGGCACGCACACTGCGAGTGCCCGGTGAGCGTGCCTTCACACAGAGTCTGGGCACTGGACACTGTCTGTGACCACAGGGCACGCAGGGCAGCGTGGGCCAGAGGGGGAGCCGGGAAAACAGCAGCTTCTTGTAAGCGAATAGATAAGTAAATAAGTACTTTGAAAGCAAAAGTTATAAAGACAAAATAAAAAATTAAAAGGACTGGGGGTACAGCTCAGTGTGAAGGCCCTGGGTTCAATCCCTAGTTCCACAAAAGAAAAAAAAATCCAAAGAAGGCACTAAAAAGTCTTGTAAGAATATTTAGAAAGGAAAAAAAAAAGAAAAAAAGGAATATTTAGAAAGAAAACAATGGGTTCTAGCTGGGTGTGGTGGCACACGCCTGTAATCCCAGCACTCAGGAGGCTGAGGCAGGAGGATTGTTGCAAGTTCGAGACCAGCCTGGGCTACAGAATGAGTTCAATGCCAGCCTGAACTGCAAGCGAGACCCTGTCTCAAAAAAGATGAAAAAAAGAAAGAAAGAAAGAAAGAGAAGAAAACAGTGGCTTCTAATAAAAAACAAATGTGACGGCACTGCAAATTACTGTACTCTTTGGAGAGCAAAACATAAAATTTAATATGCATATGCACTATACTCCAGCAATTTCACTTTTGTTTTTAAAAATCTATTTATTTATAGGCTTTCTGTTTGTTAAGCACATACTCTACCCCTGAGCTATACCCCTAGCTCCTGTGTAGAATATTTTTTAAAGACCTATGTATTCATTAGTAAAAGACTAGTTAAAAGCTTACAAGATACAGAACTCTCTATTCAGCTGTTTAAAAGAATGAGGGAAATCTATACACAGTATCACAGAGGTACATGCCACTCACACGGATGACAAAGGTAGGTTGCAAAGAATCATGTGGATAGCATTATTCCATTTAGTTCCAGGAACAGGCCCTTTAAGGCATATATGCATGCTGATGTATATATTTGTAGGGGAGAATGTTACATGTGATTGTGTTTTAGAAGGTTGAGGAAGAATTCGTTCCAAACTCTTCATAGTGGCTGCTGTAGGGAGTAAGATGGTGACAAAGGGTGGGAAAAGAGACGTTTTTATTTCATATATCTCTGTGCATTTTTTAAACAGTGGAAACATATTACTCATATAATACCATTTTAAAGTGAAAATGAATTAATAAGCATAACTAAGAATTTAGTGTCTGACTTCTAAAAATAATTTTTAAACATCACTTTTTTTTTTTTTTTTTTTGGTCTTTTTGAGACAGGGTCTTGCTATGCAGTTCAGGCTGGCCTTGAGCTCACTTTGTAGCCCAGGCTGGTCTCAAACTTGCAGTGATCCTCCTGCCTCAGCCTCCTGAGTGCTGGGATTACAGGCATATGCCACCATGCCCGGCAACATCACATTTGTTAAATCTTCTATAGTATGGTGGAAAAATTCAAATGGCAAATTAGTTATGTGACAGGGATGATAACATATGTTTCTACTTACGTACCCTTCTGTGGTGTGTCTATGCATGTTTTTTTGACAAAGCTGCTACTTAAAATGGGTTCATATTGACTTCTTTCTTTTCCCCCAAATCTCTCTGCAGAAATAAGAGCCTTGACATTTTCCTCATGGCATTATTGTACTATTTGTCTCACTACTTGGAAAAAAACTCACTGGAAAAGAAACCCAAAAGCTATATGGTGTAAGTAAGATTCTATGATGTGCTTTAGAGTTTTATCAACACCAGTATTAAAACTAACTTTTACCTATTATGAAGGAATTTTTTTTAAATCTTTGGAGTCTATGAAGACATTGGGCATAGGAGAGGTTTGCCAGTTTTTAAGTTCTCTGAAAAACACACGTATATTTCTGTAAGAAAATGTCTCAACTGATATAGACCAGCACCGCCTCATAATGAGACATAATGAAAGACACATGTATAATTTGCATGTTTCCAGCAACCATGTCTTAAAAATGTGAAAAGACGCAGATGAAATTAATTTTAGGTTACTTAACCCAGTGACTCACAGCTATTATCTGTGCAGCATGTAGTCAGTACTAGGAAGCTGTTAATGAGCTACCTCACTTTCTAAAAAATAAGTCTTTGAAATCTGCTGTTTACACTCACAACAGGTCTCGCTTCAGACGAGCCACGCCAGGCATTCCTCAACCACGCGTAGCTGGTGGCTACCATACAGAACAGAGCAGTGAGAGTTTTTTATATGCTGTTTGTGCTTACGAAGCTTTTGCTCAAGGGTTTCTATGCCTCTAATTTAATTAATTAATTAATTAATATATATATATATATATTTTTGTTGTTGTTGTTGTTTTGAGATAGGGTTTCACCACGCAGTTCAAGCTGTCCTTGGGCTCACTTCGTAGCCCAGGCTGGCCTCGAACTTGCAGCAATCGTCCTGCTTCTGCCTCTAATTTAAAAAGCTACAAAATTTAAAAAAATGATAGATCTAGCCAAAATGACGTTCCATACAATGGGGGGGGGGGCTACTGAGGTTTCTTGGGTTGTTTCTGAAGGATGTAACTGCTTTAGACAGAGGTGGCTCAGAGTCCACCCGAGGCAAGAACCCGGGAACTGAGAATCCAGAGCAGAACCACGCCTCTCGGGCTCGGTGACCTTTCAGAAACCATGGAACTTTCCAAGTGCCCAGGCCGCCCTCCCCAGTGTGTGCGGAACCAACCCAGTGACTTGGCTGTTAGGAATGCTGGGCAGAACCCTTAACTAACCGCTGCAGAATGTCTTCAAAGTGCAGAGCTCTCTTATATAAACAGCCTGCAAAACTTTTCATGGATAGATAAATATTTCTGAAAAGCAGTTTTATGAAGAATCAAATACATAATTCCGACCCCGCCTCTTCTGTAAAGCCATCTTTACGCGCAGAATGAGTGTTCTTCTTGGGCAGGGTTCCACAGCAGGGCTATCAGAGCGTGAAGGGTTTCTATGGTAGCAAGCAACCAGGCTGAAGCCAGCTGTGGGCTGGGAAGCCTGAGAAATCTCACTCTTCCCAAATAGAAACTTACTACCCTTGGGTGCCCTTTGGCTTGTTACATTTTATCTGATCTTTTCTAATTCTGAGGGTTACTACTAATGTAGCAAGGAGATTTATTTTATATTTAATTTATAAGTAACAAAGAAAGGATTCTTATTTTAAAAATTTGCTAGGACACAGCAGTATAAAATTATTTCTTAGATGGACTCAATTAAAGAATGACAAAAACCAAACCGAACCAAGCCTTAAAATTATTGATTCTGTGATTTGAGTCTAAAATATAATCATAAACCAGGTGTGGTGGTGCACGCCTGTAATCCCAGCACTCGGGAGGCTGAGGCAGGAGAATCGTTGCGAGTTTGAGGCCAGCCTGAGCTCCAAAGTGAGCTCAAGGCCAGCCTGAACTGCATAGCGAGACCCTGTCTCAAAAAGACAAAAAAAATAAAAATAAAAAATAATCATAACCTTTCATTTTTAGATTTCCAGTAGTTGGTCATTTTACTTGTTATCAGAACTACACACTGATTGCATTGAGGTATCTAAGGAAAAAAACGATTTCAGTTAAACTAGTACGGGATAAGATAGGGATAACGGCAGCATCTAACTCATGGTCATGCAGAGTCAAACGAGACAGTACATGTTGTCTTCCCCAGAGTTTGTGCAGGGAAGGAAACCCTGCAACCTGTGGAGGACCCCAGGAGGGGAGAGAGAGGGGTGTAAAAGATACACCTGGATGACTTTAGATGAGTGAAAGTCTGTATTTCAGAACAAGAGACCGTCTCACTTTTGAGGATGAAGAAATTCAGGCTCAGAGAGGGTAAATGGTTGGTCAGCAGTTACCTACCTAACATGATAGGATTAGATTAGAACCCGGCGTCCACAGTTGGTATACAAACCACTGTGCCAGAAGCCCAGCACCCACTGCCAATCAACTAGGTTCACTTTTTCAAAGTTTATCCCTTCAGAATTAGGATGAATAACCTCTGAACAAGGGCACTATTATGTCATAGGCACTTCTCAAGTTATTGCAGTCTTCATATTTATAACTTTTCATGGTGGCCATTGTAGACCGATTGACCTACCTCCTCCTAGGCAGGATACTATAGGGGCTGCGGGTACAGATTTTGATGTCTGATCGCTTTCATAGGGACTCACTCATAGGTTACGAGCGTAAATGTTAGGTCTTTAGACGGTTCTTGACTATGAGACTCTTCTGGTCTCCATTTGTTTCCATATCTTGGCAGTTTCCAATTTTTCTGCTGGATAAACATTAATTACATGGAATACCTTCATGCAGAGAATAACCATCCCTCCAATTTTGAATGATTTTTTGAAATTTCTAGGAGAGACTGTTGGGTCAAAATTTGTGAACATTTCTACTCTTTTTTTTTTTTTGTCTTTTTGAGACAAGGTCTCCCTACGCAGTTCAGGCTGTCCTTGAGCTCACTTTGTAGCCCAGGCTGGCCTCGAACTCGCAAGGATCCTCCTGCCTCAGCCTCCCAAGAGCTGGGATTATAGGCGTGCGCCACCATGCCCGGTGCGGTTTCTACTCTTAAATTCTTCTCAAATATTTTTCCCCAGGATTATACTACTTTTTTTGTATGTCAACGGTATAATGGATATATCAGTTTTAACAGGATGTCATCAGGGTGATCATTTGCATTTTGAAAGCATATGCTTGTTGGGCCCTGTGAACTCTGAGAGCGTGGTTGGTGTAAGGAGTGTGTGCAAGGCAGCGTTACGTGAAGAGGGACAACATGGAAACAGTGCGGGGAAGAGATTCCGGACGGGCTCTTGCTGTGGGTCGCCGCTTCCTGGAGCTCCCTGTCTGGGTTACCTTCTGTTGCCTTGTTTTCCCCATCACTTTTTCCTTTTTTGTTTTTTTTCTTGCTTCAACGCATTGATTCCTTTTTTTGTTTGTTTGTTTGTTTGTTTTCCGGTACCGGGGATCGAACTCACGACCTTGCGCTTGCCAGGCAGGGGCTGTGCCGCTGAGCTAAATCCCCAGCCCCAACACATCGATTCTTTCTGATGGTTTCCAAATGTGGCCCCAGAACCTCCTGCCTGAGAGTCACTGCAGAGCAGCTGTTTTCTGTTTCCTGGGCTCTCTGTAGGACACTAAAGAGGGGGTGGCACCGGGTATCTGTACCTGTGACAGGGCCCCCGGTGACTCTTCAGTAATTCAGACGTCAGCTGGAACTTGAGAACCACTAGCCAAAGTTTTGAGACATTCCTTGATTGTTGTTCGGCTTGTTTTCTGCAGCAAAAAAGAGTGTCAGCTACTGGCAGCTGTGGCCGAATAGGGGGATGTGGAGGGTAGGCAGCTGAAGCGGGCGGGGAGCCAGGCCCAGGGGGAGATAAGGCCCGGGGGTGCAGGTGGAAGGGTGTGTGGGGTTTATGGCACTTGGGTACTTAAGTGGAGCCCGCTTTATCTATCCCACAGACATTTCATTCCAGTGATTTGCAAGCCTTTGTAATAACAAGCACATGTAGTAATGTTCTGTGCTTTGAAATATTCATATTACACTTAAACTCACCTCTCCCCCTCATACACACCTTTGTGCAGTGAGTGTAGAGGTTCGCCTCTGGAGGGCCTGGCACATATCCCTGTTCAGAGTGTGAGTGATTTGGCTTCCAGCGACACTTTACTTCTCAGTAGCAGTGCACCGGAAGGTGGTGTCAGCAACATTGTTTCCTCCTATGCTATACTGCAAAAACTTTTAAAATTAGTCCTCAGATATGCTGTAATCTAAGGATAGATTTTTTATTTTTATTTTTTAATTTTTTTTACTTTTTTGTCTTTTTCAGACAGGGTCTGGCTGTGCAGTTCAGACTGGCCTTGAGCTCACTTTGTAGCCCAGGCTGATTTTGAATTTACAATGATCATCCTGCCTCAGCCTCCCAAGTGTTGGGATTACCGGCATGTGCCACCACACCCGGCTCTTAGATTGTCTTTTAGAAAGTTCATTGCAATCCAGTAAGTGCAGGGCTGTGTTTTCATAGGGATGCAAACGGCTCCTTAGCAAACGCAGCTGAACTTGGAACTAAATTCAGACACGGAGCCCAGGTTGGAGAAAGCTGGAACCTGGGAGCCGGGACGGCAGTCTGCGCAGATTTGTTAGGAAAACAGTGGGCGATGTAAACTGCTAGCTGGCTGAGAAACCGGTGTGGTAACTTTATTAGCTGAGCTACTCTGCAGGGGTTAGGACTAGTCTATATAAAACCTAGGCTAGGCCAGGTGTGGTGGCACACACCTGTAATCCCAGCACTCAGGAGGCTGAGGCAGGAGGATCGTTGCAAGTTCAAGACCAGCCTGGGCTACAAAGTGAGCTCAAGGCCAGCCTGAACTGCATAGGGAGACCTTATCTCAAAAAGACCAAAAAAAGAAAGAAAGAAAAATGAGGATAGATCGCATAAAGAGTAAAGAATTACAAACAAGAGAAAATTCACCGTAGACTGGAGGAGACCAGGCGCGTTCAGGGTAGTATGGCCCTAGACAGACTTGAGATGCTGATTCCCAGGATTAATCACTATCAGGGGACCTGGAGCATTTCCCTCTGCCACAGCTCTAAGGAAACAAATGATACAGTGAAAATCCAGTGACTCCCGAGTATTTATTTCAAAACTGTTTGATTCTGGCTTTTTACTCCTTCATGCAGCATTGGCTCAGACTAATCTATATTGTGTTTTATCCTCCCCCAGGGGTCTCGTGGAGAAGAAGGAGATGGAGCTGGTCTCCAGCAAGTTAGAGGAAGCCCAGAAATACCTGGCGAAGAAGTACTGTGTCCTCCTGCTGGGCTTGGACATGCCTGACAAGCATCACATGTGCTGCGGAAGGTGAGCGCTTCCCCGCCGTCTCCTTCGCTGGCGCCCTTGGGAAGGTGTTCCCTTGACGCTGGCCCCAGGCGAGGATCCATCCCAGGCACTCGTTAGGTCCTCTCAGAGAGGGACTATGGCAGGAGCTCCAGAATCCCCGCTGACACTGGCAAAGCCCTCCCCGCTGTGATTCAGCGTCATGATCTCTCAGTGGAGTCTGCTCTCACCTGCAATAGCCGGCCGAGGTCTAGTGTCCGGGAGGACCAGCGAGGGGACAGCGCTGCAGGGGTTGGGGCAGCGAGCACAGCTGTGAAGATGAGCTGCCCTGGGGCGGGTTATAAAGGGACTCTGCGGGAAGGTAAAGTTTACCTGAGGAGGACAGTGCCTGCACTACTGTAATTAGAATTTAAACAGGAGGTTCCTCGCAGGAGGGTTTGGGTCAGAGGATGGAAAAGGACCCTTAACCCCACACTTCCTGCTCTCTCCCTCCCCCTCTTCCTCCCGCCTCCTCTTCCTCCTCTTCTTCCTCTTCTTCTTCTTTCCCCTCCCTCTTCCCCTCCCCCCTCGTCTTCTTCTTCCTTTTCCTCTCCTCCTCCTCCTTCTTTCTCCCATACTGGGGATTTTTTTGTTTCTGTTTTTGTTTTTGTTTTTCTTCCAGTACCAGGAATCGAACTCACAACCTTGTGCTTGCCAGGCAGGCGCTGTGCCACTGAGCTAAGTCCCCAGCCCCTATACTGGGGATTGAACCCAGGGCTTTTGCTACATCCTCAGCCCTTCTTAAAAAGTATTATTTTGAGACAGACACACTAAATTGCCCCGATGGATTTGAACCTGTGATCCTGTTATCTCAGGCTTCCTCAGTGCTGGGATTATAGTTGTGTGCCACCACACCCAGTTCGCAAAGTTTAAGAAAAAAATAGGGGCCAGGTATATAGCTCAGCAGCACAAGCGCCTGCCTGGCAAGCCCAAGGTCCTGAGTTTGATTCCTGGTACCAAAAAAAAAAAAAAAAAAAAAAAATAGGAAAAGAACTCACTACATGATTTATCTCTTTGTACATCCCCTACATTTTCAAAGATAGTTTTGTCCATGAGTACACTTACATAGTTGTTCCTATATTATATAAAGGATAACCTGTGAATCTAAGATATTTTTTCTTTATCCAACTTTTTTTTTTTTTTTTTTTTGTCTTTTTGAGACAGGATCTTGCTATGCAGTTCAGGCTGGACTTGAGCTCACTTTGTAGCCCAGACTGGCCTCGAACTTGCAATAATCCTCCTGCCTCAGCCTCCCGAGTGCTGGGATTACAGGTGTGTGCCACCACATCTGCCTCTTTATCCAACTTTCCAAAAACATGTTAATAATTTTTTTGTCCATTGGAACATTTACTGTGTATTATATGTTGTATTTTTGGGATACTTTAACCCAGTTGGGGAAATTCCTAGAATTGCATTGATCAGCCTTTCTGTTTTACACACAGAACTACATAGTTTACGTTTTGCTCGGATTTCTCCACACGTTGCATGCCAGCACTGCAGGAGTCGTGGTGCGAAGTGCTGGAGCACAGAGAAAATACAGACATCAGGGAGACAGGTCTAGGGCAGGAGCCATCAGGGAAGGGAGCCAGAGACCGCTGACCCCCTCGGAGGTGTAGAGAGACTCGGACCCGGGACAGGAGAGGCAGGGCTGTTCCCACAACACACAGTAATAGATCTTGAGAGCCATTTACTAAGTGAAACAGAGAACAGAATGAAATTTTATTTTTTGTTTTGTTTTGTTTTGTTTTTCGTCTTTTTGAGACAGGGTCTCGCTATGCAGTTCAGGCTGGCCTTGAGCTCACTTTGTAGCCCAGGCTGGTCTCGAACTCCCAAGGATCCTCCTGTCTCAGCCTCCCAAATTCGGGGATTACAGGCATGCACCACCACACCCAGCTCAGAATAGAATTTTAAAAATCAGAGTACATTATATGAAGTAAAAGTAAGTATTGTTGCCAGAAACGTTTAGTCACTGTCTGTCTCCGTATTAATTTGCCCACACACAGGTCCTGACAAAGTACACAAAGGACAGGTGAGAGGAGATAGCTGCCCCTAGGCCCTGTGGCCAGTTGCAAAACTCAAAGTAATGAAGAAGAACATCCTTGATGCTCAGCTGCAGTACCTCTTTGTTTAGAAGATGTTGAAAATCAGGGATGGAGGGCTGGGTATATAGCTCAGCAGTACAAGCGCCTGCCTGGCAAGTGCAAGGTCTTGAGTTCGATTCCCGGTACAAAATAAAAAAAATTGGGGGACGGAGGCAGGGCATGGTAGCGTATACCTGTAATCCCAGCACTTGGGAGGCAGAGGCAGGAGGATCATTTCGAGTTTGAGACCAGCCTGGGCTACAGAGTGAGCTCAAGGCCAGCCTGAAATGCATAGTGAGACTCTGTCTCAAAAAGACAAAAAAAAAAGACAAATAAAATTGGGGATGGACAATTCAGCATCTAAGAGCTTTTCTGTGATCCAAATCCAGGAAGTGTTTGCAGGTCCCTCCCAAGCTATTGGTGGAGGCTCAGCTCAATATAGATTCCATGATTTGGAAGAAGGGGGATTTTCTCTGGATATAATTTTCAGGAAAGAATGTTGTAGTCAAATTATAGTCTATAGCTTTCCATTTTCCCAGATACTTAGGAAGCTGAGGCAAGAGGATGGCAAGATTGAAGCCAGCCTGCAAACTAAGCATATTTTAAAAAGCAGGGAGGGGGCCTGGGGCTGCACTTGGGCAGAAGGCCCTTGGTATTCATCCCCGGTACAGCAACCCCCCACGTCACTTAAGTTGAGAAAACTAGAATTCAAGGTTAAAAAGAAAAAACGCTGCTG